TCGATTTTAACCCCACTTAGGTTAAGGAATTAGAATTATCTGATATGTGTGAGTTCTGGCTCAGTGGGTTGCGACACAGTCCTAGGCTATAAAAGTTGAGCTGATTCTGTGATGGAATTTTGCACTGTCACAGATGGGATGTCATACTCCAGGTCTATCTGCTATCTCGGGTGGATGTTAAATCTTCAATGATCCCACTCAGAGAATAAGCAGTCTCCCCATATTACTAGTTAATATGTACCCCGAATAAATTCCACTTAAAAGCAGTTTGTTGTTTGTGGAATCTTGGATGCAATTTTCATTGCCTACATTACCAGAGTGATTCAACTCACAATAAATGATCATATTGTTTTCCTAATTGCTTCGAACATTGAAGAAATCTACTGTCCTTATCTGAGCTGGCCTACACATGACTCCAGCCCTACAGCAATGTAGTTGACTCTTAATCGTCCTCTGAAATGGACGACTAAGAGAGCTGGAAGCATCAAATTGCTCCAGGGAAATGCACTGTGAGTGTACCACATGACATGGACCACAGAGGTTCACAAAGATGCTCACCTGTGAGGGCTGCTTAAGGAATGTTTGCCTAACCGGCAATTCTCATACCCCAAGAATAAATAAAACAAGAGACACCTTTATCTTAAACAGTTGTCTCATCAAAAAGATTGCCTTGCAATTTTTTTATTCTTCAGCTTAGATTTACTCCATCATTTTTAAACATAATGCCTCACATGCAAGTCACCCGAGGATTCAAAGTTGCTGAGATGTCCTTTATATAAGCAAAAGGAAAATGTTTGGGCAAGAACTTTTCACAAAAATTGTGTTCCTTTACCTGGATTGAGTTGTAACAACATTCAACACAAGATTTCTGATTTCCTCTGACATTTTAATGCAGTTTTACAATATACACAGTGGCAATTCACAATTGAAAAGCAACTCAAAAGTGTAAAAAGTGGTACATCTTTAAAAATATGCATGCTACACAACAGGTTATTTTGAGCATTGTCCTTACAAATTTATCTCTTCAGAACTCAGAATTTAATTTTCACTGGTAGCAGATAAATTAATTCATGCATGTAAAATTCCTCTATGAATTGTTCAACTGTTATTTTAAACTACTTATAACTACAGTATAATTATAGAATCAGATATTCTCAGACGTTAACATTATACCTGCTTAGTGTAAAATGTAATGAGTATTAGTTTTCTTTTTGACAACAGAAGGCAGCTTAGTTGAAACTGTAAACACGATATTGCATATGGTACAACATTGTTCTAATATTTTCACACCTTGTATCATTAGACTGTAACATGACACAGAAATGCAATCCTTCCATTGCAGTTACCACAAGAGCATCAGCTTTTGTGTGTTTTAATCTGCTACAATTTTCTCACTCCTTCCCCTCCTGTTGGCGTATAGATCCACATGTAGCGAGTAGCCATTCATTATGTGTTACTTATAGTCAGGGCTCACCATTTCACCAAGGTGGCTGTCACAGCTAAATCTTTGCTCTGGAATGGTCAGATGAATTGGACTGGATTGGTGAGCATGAATCGGGATGATTTTTCTTCTCCATGCCCAAAGGTGGATCAAGCAAGTAGCAGAATCCAAAATATTACTCCATCCGAAGTTACTGAAGACAACACATAGCAAATTGGTCCTAAACATCCTTGGACTCTATGGGATGGTGACATAAGGAATGGTGTTACTTATCTTCAAAGCTTTTTCGGTACTGACTACTGTTAGTGTATTTGTGAAAGTATCAAACATTTCTAGTGTGAATTCACTCATGGAACAGGTGCATCATTGGCTGGGCCAGCATTTATGACCCATCACTAGTTGCCCTTGAGAAAATAGTAGCGAGTTGCCTTCTGTTCATGTACTATAAGTTGACCAACAATGTCTTTACGGAGGGAGGTTCAGGATTTTGATCCAGCAACAGTGAAGGAACGGCGATATATTTCCAACTCAGGGTGGCGAATGGCTTGGAGGTGAATTTCCAGGTGGTAAAAATTACTCACAGAGCAATTGTAGTAAATAAAGATGGAAGAAAACCTCTTTGGCATTTTTTTGCTGTATTTGACATTGGTTAATGCACTCAGTGAGCAGATGGACAGGCGTGCACTTAGGTGGGCAAGTACCACATTACAATCATTGTGTCTATAATTCCACAACATTTCACCAAATAAGAAGGAAAGCAATGTCTCAAACATTGGCAGAAATGCAGCAGCAAGTATAGCAACCAGTTTATAGGAAAGGATAATTTATTGGGAGGATATAATACATAATTAACAAGATAAGCTCATTGACAGAAATCATGAAGACGTGTGTGTGCCAGTATCTGCAATATAAAGAAAATCTGTGATGCAGAGGAATAATGCTAGAAATGTAATGTATATGTGTGAGCATGTGCACCTTTATGTGTATGCACGTGTAAATGCAGATAAAGGAAGAGTTAATGAAACATTTGGAAAATTGGGCTGAAAATAAATATCATGAACCTATCTACCCAAAGGGAATTATTCTGCTATTGGCTGTTGTGATAAATGCACCAGCAATACAATCAAATGTGCTTCTGGAAAGAGTCAGAATTGATGGATATTGTGAAAAGTAGACAAGCTGGGTTTAACACTGAAGAAAGCAGATTATTGGATGGAAAACCATTTTCTTGTTCCTGGTGTGCTTAATATTAATAGAGAAGGAGAACAGAAATTAGCTCAGTCCGAAACAATGATTAGAAACAAATTACCACTGAAAGAACTTGTTATTTTGTTTTTTTACAAACATGTTTGCTCATAAAAGGGCAGATGACGTTCTCACAACCCCAGCACCTGTGGACTGTGTGGGATGAATCTTTTTGATAACCACAGACATCACACTGATCCGTGACTTTCGCATTCTTGGCTGCCGCCTTTTCATGTATCAGCTTCTTCAGATCTTTCTTGACCTGGTCATCCGCGTAGGCGATATCCACCACTGTGATTCGTTTGGGATTCCAGATGCAGTCTTCTTCTTTCCCACTGGGAATGAACAACATCCCGCATTTTGGTGGGACCCAGGCAGTATCGTAACCATGCTGATGCCAAGTTTTTTGAAGAGGATGATTATCTGTATCTATTTTCTTCACTTTACCAACTCTAACTTTCAGCTTGAAGACCACTTTGTCACACGTTGCTGTTTGCTTGGGATATGCTTTTGCTTTGGTCACATCTCTGCTAACATACACCCCTGCACCTAAGAGTCCATCCTGGGATGGTACAAACCCTGACTGTATTATACTTGCAGCATTGTTTTTGTGGGTCCCATGGTACATGGTATATCCTCTCCCATTTATAAGCTCTTGTCCTGATTTCAAGTGGCCATTATCCTCGTGGATGACTTGCCATCCATAAAACTCAATGGACATTTTCTCTGAATGGAGTTTATCTTCTTCTGTCACTGTCTTGTAAGACCTGTAATGGGAAACATTGAAATGTATTGCTAGGATCACACACATAGCTGGAATATACTTCCATAACAAAACTAATGAATGATTGCAAAATTAGGAATTGGTACATTTAGACTTATAGAGAGATCAAGTGAAACCCCTTTACAATAGCTGTGCTAAGTTTATATGTTTACACTGTCTGGACTTTTATGAATTAATTTCCTGACATGTAACAAAATATGACATCATGCTCCTCCTTATTATTTTCATCTGTATTCTTGTTTCAGTACATTCAGGGATAGAATAAAGTCAATTTTGAAATGAAATTGCATTTATGTAGCACCTTTCAAGGCTCAGGAATCCCAATACTCTACAGTGAATGATGTCATTTAAAAAGCTTTCATTCCATAGTGTAGGAAACACAAGAACCATTTTTTACACAACAAGCTCCAACAAACAGCAATGTGACAGTGATCAGATAATCTGTTTTTCAGTGTTGGTTAGGGGACAAAAATTGTCCACGACATCATGAAAGATTCCTTTGCCTTTCTTCAAAATCTTCCCTTTCCAGTCTTCCTGCTCTTCAGAGGGACCAGACAGGATCTCAGTTTGACATCCCATCCAAAAGACACTATCTGCAACAAGGCAGATTTTCCTTCATTATATATACATTTAGGGGAGGCAGTAATCTAATGATATTATTGTGAGACTATTAATCCAAACACTCAGTGAACATTCTGGAAACCCGGGTTTGAATTTCACCACGACAGATGTGGAATTTGAATTCTATAAACAATCTGGAATTAAGAACCTACTGATGACCATGAAACCATTATTGATTGTTGGAAAAACCCATCTGGTTCACTAATGTCATTTAGGGAAGGAGATCTGCCATCCTCATCTGCTCTGGCCTACATGTGACTCCAGATGCACAGCAATGTAGTTGACTCTAAACTGCCCTCTGGACAATTAGGGATGGGCAATGAATGCTGGCTTAGCCAACAATGCCCACATCTTGAGAATGAATAAAAAACAGTGAATAATGGTCTATTGAATCCACTCAGTTGACATCAACCACTGTTTTGGGGATCTTCCTTTAATACTAAATGAGGAAATCACTCTATGAGATCCAACCATTAGTCGCTGACCCTTGCTGATGCTAGGTTTTAACTCCTGGTAGTGTCTAGATGGTTGGTATATTCATGTTTGTTGAACAGGTTGAGAGATATTTTTTGATTTCCTTGGTAACAGGGAGCAATCTCACCAAGGTCCCTTGTTCTTAACTCTTTCCATTAGTTTCTCTCTACTTGGCCTATCAAATCCTTTAATTCTCCTAAACACCAGAGTTAGATTCTATGATCAGAGGATACAAGACGAGACTACATAATCTGTCCTATGGCATTCATGTTATCTCATAGTCAATAGCAAAGGTCTTTTCCCTAAGGTGGTAGAATCCAAAACAAGGGGCAAGATTTTTAAGGTGAGAGGAGAAAGATTTAGAAGGGTCGTGAAGGGCAGCTTTTTCACACAGAGGGTGGTTCTTATGTGGAATGAACTGCCAGAAGAAGTGATAAACGCAGGTACATTTACAACATTTGGAAGATTTTTGGATAGGTACAGACAGGTTTAGATGGATATGGACTAAATGCAGGCAAGTGGGACTGGTTTAATTTAGGAAACTTAGTCAGCATGGACAAGTTGGACTGAAGGGTCTGATTCTGTGCTGTACAACTCTATAACTCCATGAACATCTGACCTTTGCTGAAGAACATGGGGAAGCCCCGGAGGAGAAAGGCAGTCAAAATGAGATAAAACCATGCAAAATACACATACCACAGGGAGAGTAGTACAGGAACCAAGTTGGGATGAATATAGAAAGTTGCAAAGACTGGTTGAAAAATGGTAGAAGAGGAAGGGATTTTTTTGTTTATAAATTTTAACAGGGATGTGCATGTCCCTGGAAAGACCAGCAGTTGCTGCCTGTCCCAAGATGTGAGATCATTTAAGAGACCAGTAGAGAGTAAAACTAAGACAACAAGGTGCAGGGCTGGATGAACACAGCAGGCCAAGCAGCATCATAGGAGCAGAGAGGCTGACGTTTCGGGCCAGACCCTTCCTCAGAAAAGGGGGAGGGGAAGGGGGTTCCGAAATAAATAGGGAGAGAGTGGGAGGCGGATAGAAGATGGATAGAGGAGAGGATAGGTGGAGAGGAAACAAACAGGTCGAAGAGGCGGGGATGGAGCCAGTAAAGGTGAGCGTAGGTAGGGAGTTAGGAAGGGGATAGGTCAGTCCAGGGAGGACGGACAGGTCAAGGGGGCGGGATGAGGTTGGTCGGTAGGAGATGGAGGTGCGGCTTGAGGTGGGAGGAGGGGATAGGTGGGAGGAAGAACAGGTTAGGGAGGCAGGGACGAGCTGGACTGGTTTTGGGATGCGGTAGGGGGAGGGGAGATTTTGAAACTTGTGAAATCCACATTGATACCATTGGGCTGCAGGGTTCCCAAGCGGAATATGAGTTGCTGTTCCTGCAACCTTCGGGTGGCATCGTTGTGGCACATTGCTATGGATCTGGAGTTACACAGATATTTTACCTCTGTAAAGGACAATAGTGGACCAATTGGCTTTTTCCACAATTGATTGTAGCCATTATCACTCTGACTGAGATTAAGACTAAATTCTATCAGGCAAGGGATGAGTTGGTGAACTCATGTTCCCACACAGTGGGGATTTTGGATAATTAGTCCAGGCATATTTCCACTGGCCAAATAAAGTCATGGTCTCAGATTGATAGTAATCACAAACAAACATCTATGAGTGCCGCACTCACATGTGCAGCAAGTGGGGTCCGCTAGCAGAGTGATGCCAACAGCTTGGGTTCAGTTGCTGCACTGCCTGAGGTTTTGTTAATTGATTCACAAGATGTGGTCACTGACTGGGCCACCATTTATTATCCATTAATCATTGCCCAGACAGCAGTTAAAAGTCAGCCATATTACTGTGGGTCTGGAGTCACATGTAAAAACCTGACCAGATAAGGATGGCAAATTCACCCCCACCCCATCACCTCCCCCCACCCCCAAAGGACAAGAACGAACAGGATGAGTTTTTCTGACAATCGACAATGGATTCATGGTCATCATTAGACCCTTCTTTCACCTTCTCAACCACTCACCTCAAGGTATCCTCAGGTTAAACCACCATCAATGACCTCTTTCCAATAAGAGAGTGGGACTATGGCAATTTCACTTTTACTCTGGAGAAGTGGAGAGACTTATTTAAACTAGGTTGTGTCATAATAGATTTGGCATTTTAACATTCCATTCTCCGGTCTTTATTTGGAGCAGAAAATATCCGCCATGCTACAAATCAAACTTCTGCTGTCTCTTGTCTCCTTACAACAGCCACACAAAGAATTTCCTATTCGCTATAACCTCTTCATTTTCACCCATCACCCCCAACTATTTTTTTAAACTTAAAATCCCGTTCAGGAAGCAGACAATTAAAATATCCTGTTCTGCTGTCAACATTGAATCAGATCAATTTGTCTCTAAGTGTGGAGAAAGTGTGAGTTACCACCTTCCCATTAATCGTGAAAAATCAGCAACTAAATTAATGAGATAACACGTTCATCCAGCTCTACACCTTGTTATCTCAGATTCTCCAGCATCTGCAATTCCTACTATGTCTGATACTAAATTAATGAGACGGATTTGCAAAAGTTCCAATTAAAACTCTTTACCTCCAGCTCCAGCTAAACTTCTCCCGACAGTTTCCTGACGCGGAAATCGAAACGAAACCTCCACTGAGCAAGAATTCACTTACTTTCGGTTCTGTCGGCAAAGTCTGGGGAATATGTATTTTGTGTGTGTGTGTGTGTCGAGTGTTGATGACGTTGAGTTGAATTTTAAATGTTTCAACTCACTGTAATTCCTTTTCAGTGCTCTGATTATGCTCGTCTTCTCCTGCGATTTATGACTTTATCTTCTGGTAAAGTGATGTGCAAAGGAAGCAAGGGCTTTGTGAGAGAAGAAGACCTTTCTCACACCTTTCAATGGGGTTTGGAGTGAAATGTAGTGGAGGCAGGTTCATTGGGCATTCCAGAGGACATTGGGTGGATAGTTGGATGGAAAGAGTGTGCAAGAGTATGAAAACAAAGCTGGAGATTGGCACTAGGTAATAGGACACAATGGGCCAAATGGCCTCTTCCTGCCCTATCCAATCCTGTGATTCACCTGAACAGTATTGTTTGTTTCAAACAGCATTTCCAGGAGGAAGTACATGTCGGTGTAAATCAGTACTTTTCCAGTAATGCTGAGATGTTTTCTGTCAGCAGAGTGGCTCAGTGGTTAGCACTGCTGCCTCACAGCACCCATGACCTGGGTTCAATTCCACCCTTGGGCGACTGTCTGTGTGGAGTTTGCACATTCTCCCCGTGTCTGCATGGGTTTCCTCTGGGTGCTCCAGCTTCCTCCCACAGTCCAAAGATGTGCAGGTTAGGTGGATTGGCCATGCTAAATTGCCCGTGGTGGGTTACAGTGGGGTGAGTCTGGGTGGATGCTCTGAGGTTCAGTTTGGACTTGTTGGGCCGAAGGGCCTGTTTTCACACTATAGGGTTTCTATAATTTCTGTGCATACCTCAGGTGGTGAGTTATGAAATCCTTTAGAATAAAAGACTTGAATTTTCCTATTATGTCTTTTGTTTCCAGCTGGAAGTTGAAGCAAGTTCCAAAGATACATGCTTTATTTGGCGAATAAGGAGTGCTAGAGATTGTCTTGGAACTGGTCAAAAATCCAGACTTGAAAGATCGACAAAGGACCTGGGCCAGGACTTCAGAGGAGCAGGAAAGCTGACGTTTCGGGTCTGGACCCTTCTCCAGCTCCACACCTTGTTATCTCAGACTCCAGCATCGGCAGTTCCTACTATCTCTGGGCCAGGACTTGATGCCTTTCACTCGAGTTTCCTGGTTCTGCCGGCAGCTTTATGATATTAATGAGATTTGAAATGACTTGTCTAGAGGCACGTAATACTTCTGGTTTGGTTTAGTTTTTACCTATTTCAATGGGTTATGAACTTCTCCTTTAAGACCCTCCTGAAAAATCACCTCCAGTGGCAAGCTGCTTCTTTGGCTCTGCCCCCATTTTTAATTGTTTCTGTATAAAATGATTGATGATTATTTTCATTGTTAAAGACATTATATAACAAACATCATTTTTGTTGCATTATGTTCCAACCTTTTAATTAATTGTATTGTCTTGTTTCTGTAATTATTCCGCCCCAAATAAACAAAGATGCTTAAATAATGCAGATGGCTGTGATTCCATTGCAATCAATTAAGAAGCAAATTGAGCCGCCCAATGCTTTGTCCTGTTGAGATTCAAAATTGATTGACTGAGAAATGTTCAGATTTGCTTGTCAAGGCCTTCAAAACCAAATCTACTTCACATGCTTGCAGAGTTAAAACAACAATTCATTTGAAAATGTAATCACTGCAAATCTGAAATCAGACTAGATAATGTGGGAAATTGGCTGCAGGTTAATAACAGAGAGAGGACAGGTTACCATTTTGGGTCGAACCATTGTCAATGTTGCTCTCCAAAACATTAGCCTATTTCTCTTTTCAGATGCTGAAAGGCCACCTCTTGTGAATTTTCCAATGGTTCCTGGTGTTATTACAGGAAAGGCCATTTAGGAGTGAAATGAGGAGAAATTTCTTCATCCAAAAAGTGGTGTGCACGTACAATCCTCTGCCACAGAAAGCAATTGAGGCCAATCAGTGAATGTTTTTAGAAATGAGTTAGATATAGTTCTTAGGGCTAAAGCGTTCTCAAAGTATATGGGAAGAAAGTGAGAACAAGGGACTGATTTTGATGATCAACCATTGAATGGTGGAACAGACTCGAAGAACTGAACTGCCTACTCCTGTTCCTATTTTCTATGTTATTCCCAATTTTTGCCATTGAAATAAGGGAGTGGAAGACTAAAATTAGAATGAAAGCATTCGGGGTGATGGCAAGGAAAGTTCCTTCACATAAAGGGTAGCTTTCTCCTGTAGCTTTCTTCACCAAATGCTGTTAAGGATTGGGTTGGAGAGTGGTCAATCAAAAAAAATTCAAAACTGAAAGTAATAGATTTTGGTTAATGAAGAGCATTGAAGACTGTGAAACCAGCGTGGGTAGATGAAGTTAAGATAGAATTAAAATACATCTTAATGGAATGATGGAGCATGCTGAAGGGACTGAATGTCCTATTCCCGCTATACTAAGTGTTATAAAACCACTTCCATAATTTCTCATAACAACTACTGATGAAAGACCACATGCCCAAAGCATTCACTCTGTTTTTGTCTTCACAGATGTGCCCTAACCTGCTGAGTATTTCCAACACGTTCTGTTCTTTATTTCTGATTTCTGGCAGCTGCAGTATGTTGCTTTGTTTTTATATTTGCAACCGGATCCCATCAGCAAAGAGCAGGCACGTTCAGTGATTTGATATCAATGCTGCATGGCACGTATTTTTCTTCCTCTCAGACTCTACAAGTGTGAGTTGGAATTTGTGTCAAATTGTTTGCTGAATGGATAGCAGCCTGAATCAATTCCTGCTTTCAGGATATCAGTGCAAGATAATGCAAAATGCAGCATTTGGCAGGGACTGTGGTCATAACATGGGCCTGAATTTCTATTTCTGTGGAGCACTTGGACCCTAGTGAAAAACAATATGTTAAGTGAAATGAAATTCTGCAACTCAAAAAGTGCAAGCAGGTGATCCAGCTTTTAAAAGTTTTTAATGTGGAATGAATATTAGTCATCAAATAGTGAGATGGAGGAAGACGGTTAAAATAATTAAAGAGAGTCCAATGCAATCTTGCCTTGTAAGACTTTTTATACAGCATATCCAAACAGCATATAATTCCCATAATCTTATAACGTGATTGATGAGAAACAAAGGGTGTAAAAAAGTCATGGTATAGAATCACCGAGTCTTACAGTACAGAAGGAAGCCTTTTGACGCATTGGGACCGTTCTGGCTTTTTGCAGAAGGTACCCAATTAGCATCCTGTTCTTTCCTCATCACCCAGGGAAAAAAAAATCTCTTTTCAACTATATATCCAATTCCCTTTCGAATGTTACCATTGAGTCTTTTTCCATCACCCTGCTCATGCAGTGCATTCTGGATCGTGACAGTTCTTATGACATATTGTTCATTTGCCCATTATCTTGAATTCGTGCTCTCTATCGACCGTGGGGTTCGGTTAGCTCAGCTGTAGTGACACAGTGTGATGCCAAGAGTGTGAGTTAAATTCCTGCACTGGTAGAGGTTAGCTGAAAGTTCTGCCTTCACAACCTCAGCACTTACCTGAGGTTTGGCCGTTAAACTGCCACAAGTTGTGTCTCTAATGAGGGACCAACCTAAGGCTTGTTAGATCCACATAGTCAAAACTCCACATAATTTGACCAGAGATAGTAGGAACTGCAGATGCTGGAGAATCTGAGATAACAAGGTGTAGAGCTGGATGAACACAGCAGGCCAAGCAGCATCAGAGGAGTAGGAAAGCTGACGTTTCGGGCCGAGACCAAGGTGGGACCATTTCTGAAGAAGGGTCTAGGCCCGAAACGTCAGCCTTCCTGCTCCTCTGATGTTGCTTGGCCTGCTGTGTTCATCCAGCTCT